GGGGGGGGGGGGGGGGGACTGGATGACTTGCACATGGCAGAAGATGGCGGTGGCCACTGCCACTGCATAAGAGTCCCCCCTCCCCTACACTCACCCCGGTCTGGCTGGCTGGGTGGCACCTGTGCAGCCTGCAGAGGGGAGCCGCTGCCCTTGTGCCCCCCAGCTCTGCTCCTGGGGGGACAGCAGTGCAGGGTGGTCGCAATGCTCCATCTCCACCCACCCACATACCCCCTAGCACCTTTCCAACTACCTCCGGAGGTATGTGTACCACCCCCCAGTTGACAACCCCTTGCCTAATGGTTACAGCTTACTTGAGATGAGAAAATTTTGAATTCTGGCTCTTGCTCCCACCATTATTTCAGTTTTTTTCATTGACTATTTAGCGTAAAATGCATGAACAGTGGTGGAGCACAGACCAGAACCCACAGCCACCTCCTTTCCTGCCAATAGGGATCCTAACCATTACGATGCAGTCAGGGTCCCCACCCCATGCTCTGTTTCTGGCATCATGAATCTTGCATTACTTTCTGCGGTGTGGCTCAGCTTCTGCAGGGATGAAGAATCCACCTTCCCCCATCACTAACAGGTAGCCAGACGATAAGAAAATAAATGGTGCTATGCTCCCTAAAGTTACCCACTGATTCCCAACAACATTTTTACAGCAGATGAAGACATCATGATTTTATATTACTTTTGCCATCTGGTCTCCAAGCAAGGGCTGTCACTTCTTTTCCTGTGTTTTCATTTGGTGGCAAACTCCAAACTCGTTGAAAATTTGCTAGTCGGTGAAGTAAAACCTGAAAAAAAAAATAAAGCTTAAATTTAGTCAAAGAAAGCACATTCTTCCTTTAACTGAATCTTGTAATCCAGCAACTAAAGAAGCACTTTCTGTTGGACTAAAACAAATCCTGTATTCTGAGTGTTCCTATTGAAAGACCAGTTATTTTCCATAGTTTGAGAGCATACTCTTTACTACGAAGCAATGAAAGTAAACTGTGCTGGGTAGACCTGAAGACCATAATTAAAATGAGAGCTCCCGTTCAAACTTAGACAGAAACTGTCTTATGGAAACATTACAGCTGAACATCCTATCCTTGGCCAAATTCCTCCTGGAGACAGCAAAGCACAGAAGGAAAGGTTTGTTTTAATAAAAACACAAAAAGAAATGGAGAAAGACCCAATAAGCCTTCCCTAGTGCATGAGGTCCCTCCTGTTAACATCAGCTAATAGCACTGCCTCCAAGAATTAAGAAATAAGGAAGATGCTAAAGAAAATAATCATGGAGGTCAACTGTCAGATGACTGCATGATTAGTTTAAAAAGTGGGGGAGCAGGGGTAAGTGGAGATGAAAGGAGATGGGGAAGAAGCAGCTAAAATGACAAGTTAGATGAGTTTTTAGGCCTGATGACATCCCTCCTAAAGCATTTAAGGAACTGGATGAAGTAACTGTTGTCTTTCAGAACTTATGAAAATCAAGTGAGCCCCCCTAAAAACTGGAAAAATATGGCGCCTATCTTTTAAAAAAGTATAAGAGATTCTGGGAACTACAAACCAGTCAGTCTATATTTTATGATACTGGAGGGTATCTTCAAATAATTAATTTGTAATTACTTGGGGGATAACAAGATAAGTAACAGCGACCATGAATCTGTTCAGAGAAAATAAATCCTTAATAAAGTGATGGGACCTGAAGACAGGGGAAATGGGGGACAGCAGGCATTAATAAGGTGCTGGACACCATCATCCACAAGAAGCTCATACATAAACTAAATACAAGATGGATGTATAACTGGTTAGATAATCATGATTAAGCAGTACTTACTGGAGTACTGCATCCAATTCTGGGCTCCACAATTTTAAAAGGATGTGAAGAAGCTAGAGTGAGTCCAGAGGACAGACACACGCATGACTGGAGGGCAAGAGAAAAGGCCTTATGAAAAGAGGCTGCGAACCATGGGACTCTTCAACCTGGAAAAGCACAGGCTCAAGATCTGGGGGAACATGTGTTCACCAGAGCGCCCCAAGGGATGACAAGGTCAGACAGTCACAGACTCCTCCATGACCATTTCAGGCTGGACATAAGGAAGAACTTCTTTACTGTCTGAGTCCCCAAGGCCTGGAACAGACTGCTGCCAGAGGTGGTGCAAGCACCTACTCTGGACTCCTTTAAGAGACATTTGGACATTTATCTTACTGGGTTCCTTTTACCCGAGCTGACTTCCTGCCCCTGGGGCAGGAGACTGGACTTGATGATCTCCCAAGGTCCCTTCCAGCCCTAATGCCTATGAAACCTAAGAACAATAATCAGTGGTTCTAAACCGAAATGAAAAAAGGAATCAAGTGGTGTTTCCCAAGGGTCTGTCCTGGGTCCAGTACTGTTCAGTCTCTTTATTAATGACACGGAGAGCAGAACTGAATGTACATTTGTACAGTTACAGATGCCACCAAGCTAGGTGGGACTTAAGCACTTTGAAGGACAAAATTAAGATTCAAAATAACCTTACTTGGAACAAAAGACCTGAAATAATCTGGAACAAATTCCGTGAGAACAAGTACAAAGAACTAAACATAGGTTGCGAAAGTCAAGTGCACAGATACAACACAGGGAATCATGGCCTTTGCTGAAGTACTTCAGCCTGGATCAGAAGTTGGAGTCAACAGTGTAATACTGCTGCAACACCCCCTCTGCAGTAATGGGTTGTATTAAAAGGAGAGCTGTATGCAAGTCAATTAGCGAATGGCAATTACTCCCCCATGTCTATACATCACAGGACAGGAAGTAATGAGCTTAAACTGAAACCAGGAAAACTTAAGTTGAATTTGAGGGAAAGCTTTATAACCATGAAAACGGGTAGGCATTGGAACAATCACAGAGAGAGACTGTAGATCTCTGCAGTGGAGATCTTTTCACTTCAGGCTGACAAACATTTGCCTGGCATTATCCTGCCCTGAGCAGCAGGTTGAACTGAATGGTATACTGAGGTTCCCCTATTTTTCTATAATCATCGAGAAAATTCAGTTAAAACAATGGTTCCCAATCTGTGGTGAGGGTACCACCAGCAGTACGCAGACAACGTGTCAGTGGTACACATTAACAGATTTATTATAATTCCTTTATATGACAAAAATTTGCTGGTGGTACTTAAAGTTGAACTGAAACATTTGCTGGTGGTACTTAAGGTTGTATCATTTTAAATCGGTGGTGCGCAACCCATCAGAGCCTGGGATGGCTGGCTCCAGTGCCACCACAGCACTTTGCTTTCAGTGCCCAGTTGGTCTAATGAAAGGTAGTTTTGGAACCAAGAGCTCTAGTTTTTTGTATTTCTTGTCTCCAGACTTCAGGTAGAGATGAGCTTTGACACATGGGTGAAATCACAGGCCAAGTTGGACACCCTGTTGGGCAGCACTAGTCCCTAGCAGTTCAAGGAAGGTGAGCCTGAAGAGACACTCTCCTGTCAGCAAGCACCGTGGCCCAATGCGCTCTACTCCCTGCAGACGACGATGCCCCCCCCCAGTATTTAATACGGGTACTGGGGGAAGGGGGCAGGCGGCTGCTGTGGCCCAGGGCCGGAGCTGCCCGCCCTGAACCCATTTTCCTCCTGCAGCCTCTTCCCCCACGTGCAGCCTCCTCCCCGGCTGCAGCCCGCGGCTGAGCAGAGCAAGGCCCGGCCCGGCCCGGCCCGGCCCGTGGCGGCAGAGGTCGCAGTCCGCGAGCTGGGGCTGTGCTGGGCTGGAGCCGGGTCAGGACCAGGCGCCAGGGCAGGGACTGGGCTTGAGCTGCCGCACGGGAGAGGCCCCGAGCGGCGAAACGCCGCACCCGCGCTTACCTCCCCGGCGCGGTTGGCGAGCGCGATGAGGTCCCGCTTGGGGGACCAGGCCATGAGCGCCACCTCCTGCGGCAGCTGCTTCTCGCCCACCTGGCGGAAAGCGGGCATAATGGCGGCCTGCAGCACCCTCCCGCTCCCGCGCCGTCAGCTCTGCTGCGCCCCGCGCTGCCCTCACCCCCTCCCGGGGTCAGCGCTTCCCGCCCCCAGCCCGACAGCTGGCCCCGAGCTCCGCCTGCTCCGTGATGCGGCAGCAGCCAGAGAAAGCCACTCCCAGGCCCCGCCCCACCGGCGGCTCCGCCCTGACCGCGAGACCTGGCGGCTCCCTCGGCGTCGCTCGCTTCAGGGCGCTGCAGGTAAAACGAACTGTTGGAAAGAGCAGCAGTTCGTCTGAGCAAAACTCGGAGGCTTGCTAAAGAAAAATTTCCTCTAACTCTTGAAGTTGGTTTAATAAAAGATATCACATTCACCCAAAGAGCCTTGTCTGCCCGTGTCCTGAGACCGACAGAGCTGCAACTCAACCGTGTTGCAAACAGGAGATTTTACTACACCTTCAACTTCTATGAAATACCAACTTTCGTTTCTCCCTAGAACTTGTACAGTTACAGATGCCGCCAAGCTAGGTGAGACTTAAGCACTTTGAAGGACAAAATTAAGATTTCTCCTATATCTAAAGAAGGGTGTTTGTGCCCCAAAGCTTGCAATGAAAGATTTTGGTGGGGTTTTTTGCAAAAATCTGGTCCGTCTAATAAAAGATCACCTCTACCACAAGTCCTGCTACACTTATACACCGACAGTTGCAGAACTTACACCTGTGCCTCCAGAAATGTAACACAGCTCATCCAGCGCACTAAAGGCCCTGAAAGACAATATGCAGGAGAAACCAAACAACCAAGCTCCAGAATGAGGCACAGCAAAAATCTGTCAAAGACAAAAATATGCAAGGACCTGTGGGTGCACATGTCTCACAAGACACCTGCTCTCTCCCCAATCTCTCGCTTCTAGTCCTCAAAGGGAATTTACAAAGTACCTTTGGTAGAGGAGCCAGTGAACTTCATGAATGATGGGATAGAAAAAATAATGGACTAAATATAGGGAGACAAGAGTCTTTGGGTGAATCTGATATCTTTTATTAGACCAACTTAAATAGTTGGAACAAAATTTTTTAGCAAGCTTTTGGGTTTACAAACCCTTCATCAGGCTGAGGAAGCCTCTGCAGTTGGTGTGTGCCGTTCCTGGTTGGAATGACCCCTGGACTAAATACAGACATTGGATTGATGGCATATTATAACCTGCCTGCCATCTCATAACCTCATAACATTTTACCAGCAGCAGTCTATCCCCAGGTCAACATTTCCCTCTTCCCCTCCTCACCACCTACCTGTCCCACACCTATCATCTCCCATCACCTTGGATCCTCACCGACACACATTGGCATTTTCACTGACCTCAGTTTTGCATATTGGCTTCTGTTCCACCCTGGACACAAAACACCAGCAGACTGTCTCTATACCCAAAGAAGGGTGTTTGTGCCCAAAAGCTTGCGAAGAATAATTTTTCCGATTATTGAGTTGGTCTAATAAAAGATATATTAACTCAAAGAACCTAATCTGAGAAACATACCTGCACATGCAGACACAGACATACGCACAACTTCGGATGGTTCAAGTCTTGTGTAAAATGTTTTACAAAAATTGATATTGTATTTTTTGATCTTCCAGCATTTCATAGCAGTGAGATCACATGCGGCTCCTTCTCAGCGCAGACACCAAACTATGCTTTTGCATGCATTGATTACGACAGCAAATTGTCCTCAGCATGTTCTGCAGTCCTTTCTGGTGCAACTCCTGTTTTCTGAGTATTTATTTACCTTTGTCTAAAGCAGCAAAAAGTTAGAACCTCTTTTCACTGCTGGGAAGAGAATAGGATAAAGGCATGTGGCATTTACCCAAATTCAAGTTCACATTGAATTTGAGGTGACTCCCCCTGTCCCATTTAGGTTCTATACACAGAAAATGTATAAATGTGTTATAATTGTCCATGTATAAAATCTGATTATTGGAGGATCATCTTAAATTCATCCCCACCACTGCAGCATGAAAAGCAATGGTAGCAGGACTTGGAGTAGGGGTCAGGCAACAGGGGAGACAGTGGGGGTGTACACAATACAGTGGCAGGGGGTGGGAGAGTATGGTTACCACAAGTTCAGATTTTCCTGGACATCCTCTTTTTGGATCCTTTGATCTCTGCTCAGGCATTTTTTTCAAATATGAATAAATGTCTGGGATTTTGCTCCACTAGTCCTTTTTCAACATCAGTGCTGGTAGAACTGCATTTCCCAGCTTGCCCTTGTAGCATGCATTTATTAGAGATCCAGGTTTTCCATGTGCTGTGGAAAAACCTGGATTTTTTTCTTTAGAGGAAACCTAGGGTTTCCCCTTGCAGGCTAGCAGCCATCCAGCCTGGAAGGACCTGCTTGGAATGACTGGAGACACATGCACACAGCATAGAGCCATGTGTGGCCAGCACAGAGCCAAGCAGAGTGGTGGGCACAGCCCCAGCAGCTAGATCTAGGTAAGTCTATGGATCGTGGGGGTTGGAGGAGCAGGGCTTGTGGACTGTCTGGGGGAGGAGTGGCAGGGGTATGTGGTGTGGAGGAGGATGGGGGGGCATACCTAGTGGTACTGGGGGAAGGTGGCTGGGTGCTGGGGCTGCAGCAGGGCAGGAGAGCAAGGGGGAAGGGGGCAGGTGTTAGGGGCAGGCTTCTACCTTCCTGTCCTGCCTCCCTCCCCCAGCCTCTGCCCCCCATCTCCTATTTGCTCCTCCATCCTCCTTTCCTTCTATTTCTCTCCCCTTCCGCTTATCCTTGCTCCAGCCCTTGCAGGTTCAATCCCAGCTCTAGCTTGGGGCACAGAGTGTGGACCCAGCCCAGCCCTGTAGCAACAATGTGAAGCTAGCCCCATGGGGGAGAGGGGTACCCAAGGTTGAAGTAGGGACAGGAGGAAAAGGGAATGGGAAGGAGATCGCGGCAGGGCGGGGGCAGGGCTGGGGCCCAAGTCTGCAAGGGCAGATGCTGCAGAAGTGGTGAGGGGCAGGCAGTGCACCACTGCCTGCCCCCCACCCCATTCTCAATTTCATGTCAAATGGGGGAAAAATCCTTCTCTTGAAATTGAGGAAAATACAGTCTTTTAGTTGTTTAACAGTGCAATTCTTGCCCTCCTCTGTTTTCACATCACTTATACAACAGATATGAGTATATTGTGATAAAAAGATAGCACTTTTTGATAACCCTTTTAAGTCTAAGGATTTAGAATAGATATTTTCCCACTAGGTATTATATATATAAAACCAACATTTTAATTTGGTCTAGCAAACAATTTTGGGTCTTGTACTGCTACAAAATAGGACTGGTAGGAATACATGGTGTAACCATTTACAAAATACTGCTCTTAAGAAAGGGGAGTAAGTAGGGCTGTGTCCTCAATCCTACACTTCAACAAAGTGGTCACAACCTATCTGCTCTGCTCACACAAATTCCAAAAACTCAAGATATCTAATGAACTCAGAAAAATGGCTTGTTTGAGGCAGGTTTTTGAGACAGGCACAGAATGACTTATGCAAGTCTGCCCCTCAAAGGATTTACACACACTAGAACTGTACTCCAAGTTACGGGCTCTACAGCTTATTTTGGAAAAAAAATATGCAATCCATAAACTTCCTCAATTTTCTCGCATAAAAAAACCCCCTGAAACTAAGAAAATGTGAGACGTAAGCATAAAACAGAGCACACATTTATCTACCAGGTTTTCCCAATGTTTCAGGCCTGAAGAGCCAATACAGGTCTGAAGTAATAAACTGGATGTTTCACTTATTCATGACTAACTGAATTATTATTAATACCAATAATAGTAAAAGACCTTTAATGCTGGTGAAGATATACAAAAGAGAAAAACACCACTCCAATGAGTCTGCAGCAATTACACTACATCATCTTTTAAAATTATAAATAGAACACAGTTGACATGAAATTCACTGAGTCTTAAAGAGTCACCTTAGTTATGACTATTTTTGCTCTATTCATTTCATATTTGTTTCAGTCATAGTGTCCACGAAACAGCAAGATGACCTAGGTCTGAAAATTAGTAGAGGAACTCCTCTTGGTACATTCTTTAAAAAATTAAGTATTCCTCTGAAAGGCTGTGTATTGTGGCTTGGCAGGTGGGAGTTTGTTGTAGCTAAGTACTGTAGAATGTTTGGTTTGAATTAAAAAACCTATAGTTAAAAAAATACATTCTTGTCATTGCATTTTATTTATTATTTAGTTTTAATTTTGTTTTTACATGACATTCACACATTAAGGACAACATCAAGAATAATCTGGGCAAGCTGGCCTTGAAGCTCAGCCTCCATCACCACTAGCCAATGAAAAGATTATATGTTAAAGTTTAGCTATTAAAATTCTCTTCATAAATGAAAATAAATAAATAAAGACATTTGGTTCAGCTTATAATAAAGTATTATAAAATCTGAGCAGGAATGTCCTGTGTTCCTATTATCTTTCTAAATGTATCCACTTAAGTATATAAACATATACTTAAGTCATAACTTATCTGGAACTAGTTTCCAGGCCTAGAGACAAAACCAAACACGTGGATAACTAGCAAAGGATTATATAACATTTGTTATCTATATGACCATGCTGGATGGTGGGTTTTAAGAGTGAGCGTGTGGGGGTGAAGTGGAATGATGTTTGTAACAGACAGCATTACAAATATATTGATCTTTTTTTCCCTAAACAGTGGGCAATACCAAACTAACCAAAACTACTATAATTTTTGTCCCTTTATTTTAGTGGTATTTTATAATATTATTCCACTTACAAGTTTTGCATAGTATGGGCTGACATATATAAATTAATTTTCTCTCTCTCATTTGAAATAGTTCATGAACAGGGTAACAAGCTTCATTCTTTTGTCCCAGTGCCATTGAAACTCTAAGGTAATTATATAGGGGTAATAATTTCCAATTCAACTAGATTTTATTCTGAAAGATCATACTAACATTTGCTGTAAATGAAATCAAAGACTGGCTGCAAAAATCTTGAGTAACTGGATGCCAAGAAGAAAGAGTGATTCACTCTTTCTTGTTTTTTATTTTTCCTTTCAAGACTCTCATTTTCCTCTGCTTCACAGATGGTTTTTTAATGGTATCCATTTTTAGCTTCTTGTTTTTCATTTGCCTTTGCTTTCCGTCAGCTCTGCAAAATAAAATCACAAATACATTGTCAGAGTATAGTAAATTGTACAATAGGGTAAATGCACACAGAAACACAATTAACTGAAGCTACCATTCAACAGTGTGGTCACAAAAAGCTAAATGAAAAAGAAAAACAAAAAAAGATTAAGTGCATGCTAGATTTAAATTAACTCCCTAATTCATAAATTAATCTACTTTTACTCCATTAGGGACATATACCATATTTTGCATGCAGCATGCCCCAGGGTATAATTTGCAGCTTTAACAGAGGCTCTATCACAAGGACTGCATTTTAGTAGTAGGCAGGGGAAAATTCATCAAGTAGCAGAAACACATTTGATGGAACTTTAGTCATTGCTTGATTAGAAAAAGACTGAGTAACGCAAGACGGCAAGCAAATATCGCTGCTAAATAGCACTAACTGAGCTAACTGTTAGATCTGAGTGCTTCAAAGATCACAAAAAATCCTAATACAGAGGAGACTAACAAGAAGAAGGATCATACTGAGCTGTATACACTGAAACACACATCCATTTGTCTATATAAGCAAGCCTGCTCTAAATGAAAAAGTTCTGCACTTCTTAATATCCGGATTGAGTTAGCTAAGAAGCACACCCCAGAAGGAGATAACAGATCCTAGTTGTAGTCACTTATCTCATAGGGGTGTTGGAAATGACCTTGAAGAGCCATTTTTTTTGCAATTAGCAGGTCTATCAGATACAGAGACATAACTGTACATGTTGCTCCAGAAATTGAGAAAACTTATGTCAGTGGAGCTGACATGGCTAGCAAAGCCTAAGAGTCTGCAATTTAATTCTGGAACTAGACAATTTTCAGACATAGCTGGATAGTCAAAGTTTTTTTTTTTATGATACTTGATACCCTTTGGACATGGCTAAGAAGTCTACCAAGGTCTCTGCCTGAATCAAGAATGCCTCATTTACTGACCTCTCCAAATACCACATAGGAAGTACTATCTAGGTTGGCTAAAATATCAAACAGAGTGACCTCCTTGCACCACTTCTAAAGGAATTCTTAAGGCATCAGCAGAAGGAATAAAATAATTACTCTTATTCAGAAAAGAAGAAATATCAAGTGAAACCTGAGCGTGAACATACTATTTCCTATTACTGTCCCCTCTTTACTCGATGCCTCCTGTAGTACTTGCGGAAAATAAATATACAAGCAGCTGTAATGGCCTTGCAGACTCCACAACAGAAGAGGACATACTCCTGCCTAGATGGAAATGGAGGAGTACAATGAGCCAAGCCCAAAAAAGCCAGTATGGCCAAGATTGCATTCCACCTGTGTATGGTATCTGTGGTCAAGGAAGAGGACTCCATGATGTCTAAGGGCTTTTTTTTAAATGATACTCTTCTCAAAATCACCTTCATAGATTGGTTCAGGGGATAAAAGAAACAATTCTGAGGAAGGGTGCTGTTGCTATATTCTTAAAAGAGGCTTCCCCTTTCTTTTCAAGGGGATGCTGTTGTCTCTAGAGTAGAAGGGAAGTGAAAAAAATCCTGAAACAGGCTGAGATAGAGATGAGAGTAAAAGATGTTTCCACCATAAGCTGAAGAAACAGCAACTGACCCAAAGTACAGGGGAAGAAAGAGTCTAAGCCACAGATCAAACTTGTTTCAATGAAGGTTATGTCTTAAAGAAGTTAAGGAGACCCCAAACCAGGTCATAACCTCAGATCACTGGCTAAGTAATTTTAGAAACAGCAGGAACTGCTTTTCAGAGAACTTCAGGTAAGTAAGATGTGTAACAGAAATATTTTTAAATAAGAATGTCTGATCTTTTTATTGTATTTTGGGAAAAAGATCCACATAGAAAGCATTTTTCAGGACTATGCACCTCTTCAGGGCAAAAAAGAACTTGATATACTCAGTGTTTAAAGCAAGGGTTGGAAACCTTTTGCCAGCATGGGCCACCCATTGCTACCCAGCCCCTCCAGTACAGGTCACAAATCTCCATTCCTCCAGAACAGCCAGTTGCCTGTACTTACCCTTGTTGCTAATCCCCATCCCCTCTGCAGCAAGGGTAAGTACAGATGCAGCAAGGCAGCAATTTGAGGTTATTCCACAACTGTACCCATACATTTATTAAATACCATATTTACTCAAATATGAGGTGTTTTCCTCCAATCTGCAAAGGGGGAAAAAACCTGTCTTATATTCGCATATGAAGCAGCAGCAGCAAGAGGCTTGCTGTGACTGACTCTTGCCCTGAGCCCAGGCTGGGGACAAAGTCAGACCCACAACCTTCTGCCCCCACCCCTTCCACTTCCTCTCTGCAGCTTCTACTTATACCCTGTCCACCACTTCCTTTCCCCTTAGTGTCAGGTGCAGCTTGACTCCAGCTTGGGCTGGGGTTTCACCCAAGCATGGAGCATATAGAAATTCCTTCTCCTGCCTGCAAATCAGCAGTGCCAACACCTGCAGCACTGCCTGCCTGGCCAATCAGCAGTGCTGACACCACTACATGGCCAAGAACAGGCTGAGCTTCCACATGCTGTACTCCAAGAACAAGATGGAACAGCCTGGGCAGTCTGACAGTAAGGGCAGGGAGGAAAAAGGCAGAGACCAGAGAGCTGGGCACTGTGGGGGGAAGGAGCAGAGACTTGAGGAGAGTTTGCAGGGGATGAAGCAGCAGAGATTTGGGACAGAGAACTGAGGGAGCTGGGGGTGCAGGTGGCAGGGGGGCAAGAGGGCCACTTGACCCCCTCCCCTACAGCCACTGCTTTCCCCGCTGTAGCAATAGGGGGAATTGAAGACAATCCTCCCCAATACCTAAGATTCTATACCTGGAAAAATTATAACAAACATAAATGTTCCATACATAAATCTAATTATTGGGGGGTCATCTTATATTCAAGTACAAATGGTAGCAACCATTTCCCATATTTGAGAGAAGCATTCCAAATAAATATTCCTGCACCATCACACTTACTGGTAAGCTCTTCTAGTCACAGAAAAATGAGGGCAGGTGCTGCGTTTGTGATCTGCTCCGCCACAAATAAAGCATCCAATCTGCACGTTCTCACAAGCATGGTCTTGAAGAGCACAGTGATTGCATGTGTTACAGTGAACCCAGGCTGCAGTAGGATAAAGAAAGGAAGAGGAGGCTACATTTTATTTTTCAGTTTGAGGTCTTTGGGTAATTTTATTGCTGTCACAAAATTTTCCCCTACCATCAAAAAGCTTAATTAGTTAGCTTTCCTTTTTATACATATAGTAAATAGATACACTCTTCAGATATACTACAATCATGTGCCACACAATCATTAAAAAGATGACAGTTTTAATCACAAGAATATGGCACAGTTTTTAAAACAATCCGGTGTTACTGAAAAGCAGCAAAGGCAGCTACAGCCTTACATTAATTAATAAGTATGATTATTCTCAACTATTTAAACAGCTCCAAGCAAGGACACTTGCCTTCAAGAATCAGAGTTTACCTGACTGCTCCCACAAAACTATTTTAGGAGCCATTGATATGCTTACCGAATGCAGCTGAAAAAAAAATCAATATGAAAGAATATATATACAAAATTCTTATCAGGATGACAGCAGATATTGAATTAATAAAGATCTGCCATAGTGAATAAGGAAAATTTAGTGTACCCTGATTTGACAAGACACCACGTTTTCATATAGTAGAATCAAGTAGACTATTGGGGGCTTGAATGGAAGTTAAACATTATTTTTTTTTCTTCATAGTCAATCTTTATGGCTTGAAGTTTAACATAATTCCCAATTTTTGCCTTGATTTCTTTGGATTCTAACTTACATAGTAAGAAACACTAATTACAAAAAATATTTATGTACTCACAAGGCTTTACACACTTCTGGCAAAGAACACAATGTCTCCATTGCCTACCATCCTAAAATGAAATCATAAGAAGTGTATTAATTTTAAACAGGCTCTTTTCAAGTAGTACTTATTTATTCTTTTATTGTATTTACTCTATGTTTTAAAATTATAATTATGCCCAATGAAATACTTCAATTTTCAGCTATTACATATTCATGCTCCCTATATATTCATAGATGGCTTGCGTATTGGAGGGGAAGGTCAGAAAGTTCTCCTACAAACACTGAGCTTTAGCACCCCAGGCAACAGTTAGCATAATTGATGCCCCTTGAAGTATTGCACGTTCCTGATCACAGGAGAAATAGCATGTGGCAGCAGGCTCTTGATGAATGGGGTCTGGAGCATACAAGGACAGGCACAAACTTTTGGTGTCCTCATTCCAACCCAAAGCAATTAGGAAAGAGAAAATAAATCCCACCAGACCCAATGCGCAGCCCACAGAAATCAAGACAATACCCATACTGAGCTGCCCATGGCTCCCTACCAAAGATATACTAGCAGTATTAACATCAAAAGAGGTTTATATCCAAGCAAAACCACAAACTCTCTCACTAAAATGTCTGTCCAAAGAAAGGAAAAACACTTACTTTTGATGTACATGAATTGCACATTTTACAGTGCTGGTTCTCTGAACTCACGTATCGTTGACAAAGAGAACAAAACCTGAAAAACATTACAAAGTACTGGCCTACTGCTTGCTGAAAAAGCCTTATAAGACACAGTAATAATGTTGAAGTGTTGCTGTGGCCATGATGGTCTAGGTCAGGGGCAGGCAATTATTTCAGCTGAAGGGCCACTTAATAGGTTTTCGTGAGCTGTCAAGGGTTGCAAGTGTAGTCCCACCCCTTGACAGGGGGCTCTGCCCCATGACTGCCATCTTGGGGTCAGAAGTCCCACCCCTAACCCCCAACCTTTGCCACCTGAAGTCCCGCCCTTTGCCCCACAGAAATACTCCTTTTGGGAGGGGGGCTTGCTATCTTGGAACCAGGAAAAAAAAAAAAATCAAAATCATACACTAAGAGTCAAACACCTACTATAACATAGTTTAATTTTATTACAAAAATATTTTTGTTATAATAATTTACATTTGCATAATATATATAGAAATGACTGCATAATAACTCAAAAATAAAGTCTTACTCTTGTACGTTGTGTGGGGAGGCATGAGGTGTGTGTATGGTTGGATGTGAGGCACCACGTGGGTATGAGTATAGTGTGGCATAGGGGGTACGTGTATACATGGTAAGGCGTGGGGAGTGTGTGTATGTGTGCGGAGGTTGTGGGGGTGGTGTGTGAGGGAGGGTGGTGGGGTGTGGGGATCCTCCCCCACACCCCCCGCATGACACACAGCCCCTGCTGGAGGCAGCAGCTGTAGGTGGGGGAGCTTGGGACGCTCACGCCCAGTGCAGGCACTGCTGCCAGTGGCACGCATCTCCATCCAGCATTGTACATGGAGGCAAGAAGTGCAGCCTAGCTGGCCTGCTTCTATTGAGTGGGGCTCCCCACGGTACACGTGCAGTTCCCGCACTCACGCAGCACACCAAGGGAAGCACACGCGATGGAGCCGACTGCCTTCGCCACTCCCTGCTGCGCAGGTCCTGGGGCTCTGCTGGAAGTGGAGGGGAGCCCCGGCCCCTGCTTCCTGGTGGAGTCCTGTGACCTGCACAGCAGGCAGCAGCGAAAGCAGCTGGCTCCATTGCATGGGGCTTCCCCCAGTGACGGGCAAGCGTGGGAACTGCATGTGCACAGCAGGGAGCCCCACGCAACAGAGCCGGGCTGGCTGGGCTGCACTCCTCACCTCCGTGTGCAGCACTGGCCAGAGAGAGCTGCACACCACCAGTGGCATTGCCTGAACCACACACGAGCACCCCAAGCACCCCTGCCTGCTGCTACTGTCAGTGGGGGCTTTACTCCATGGGGGAGGGGGGAGAAGAAAGTGTGTGAAGGGTCCCCATACCACCCCCACCCCTCCCTCACACACACACCCTGCTCACCTGAGCTACGTGCTCCTTCCACCCACCTCTTGGTGTGGGCTCCTGCACTGCCACCAGCTCCAGCCCCATGATCCCCCCTCCACTGTCACTACTTCCCTACCTGGTGCCCAGAGTGAGTGGAACACTAGGAAAGCCAAGCAGGTCCCCCAGCAGTGGCAACAGCATCCCCACCCAGAAGCTGTGTGCTGGCTGAGCCAAACCCTTCTGTGCACATGGGTGAGAACAGGGCGCAATAAGGTATGTTGTGTGGGGAAGGGTGGTATATGTGGGCGCCTCACTCCCACCCTCGTAGGCAGAAGGGTTGGGTGGGGTACAATTAGTTGGTGGGCACCCACAGGCTGAATTAAACTGCCTGGCAGGCTGCATACAGTCCACAGGCCATATTTTGCCCACCCCTGCTCTAGGTAATGGATAAGAGGCAGGGACTTCTCTGTGCTATCTTTTAATGGACCAACTGCATGGTTGGGATAGTGGATGGACAAGCTTTTGGGTATTAAAGTGCCCTTCTTCAGGTGACCTGAGGAAATTTTTAGTTGGTCCAATAAAAGAAAAATCACTAAAATCCTTGCCTGCCTTATAAATGAACAAATTTATCAAGCAATGCATAGGAGAGTAGCAAATTTATTTTGTATCTCACATTTCACTACCAAGCTCTCTGACTAGATGTGATCTCTTACTAGACTGAGTAGTTGGAAAAAAGTTCTCAGCAAGCTTTTGGGCACAATCACCCGTCTTCAGGCATAGGGAGTCTCTGCCGTTCTGAGACTCCAAGGAATGAGAGAAACTAAAAAGTGTGGCAGGG